TTGCGGGGGGCTGGAGTCTATCCCAGCTGACGGTGGTTAGCACCATTGCCTCGCAGCTAGAAGGTCGCCGGTTCGTGTCCCGGTGAGGACACCCAGGATCTTTCTGCGTGGAGTCTCCATGTTCTCCCCGTGCAGTGTGGGTTCTCTCCGGGTTCTCCGGCTTCCTCCCACAGTCCAGAAACATGTTGAGGTTAATTGGTGATTCTAAATTGTCTGTAGGTGTGAATGTGAGTGTGCTTGGTTGTCTGTCTCTAAGTGTAGCCCTGTGATAGACTGGTGACCTGTCCAGGTGAACCTGCCTTCACCCTGAGTCAGCTGGGATAGACTCCAGCCCCCCATGACCCTAGTGAGGATTAAGCGGTGTCGAGATGATGGATGGATCTTTAGAGAACTTCACTCTGCCTTTAAGAAGAACATTCTATGAACTAGAGATAACTTGCCTTTGAAAACATGACTGAAACTTTGCGAAGTTTTCTCAGAACATTTTTGAAACCAAAAAAAATTCTAACTGGGGGGAAGTGATGCAGGGAACCTGTTTAAAAGAGAGACAGAATCCTGGTGATGTAAAAATTACTTGGCAATAAAACTGATTCTGATTCTGATTCTGATTCTGATTCTGATTCTGATTAAAAGACACAATATGACTGACACCAAGTGGAACAGATGATCTTTCAATCAATGACCAGAAATAGCTCCACATGAAACACATCCTATGTTTTTGCGCTATGTTAAGTGTTGATGGGGCTGTTTGGTTGAAGAAACAAGACAAAGAGGCAGCCTATCCTGACATGCCCTTCAATAGTGATAAACAGTATATGGCTGAATATTCATGAGGACATTAGCATCACTGCGGCATATGGCAGCCAGGTGCAGGAGTCTCTCTAACCTTATCATCCTTGTTTGGGACAGGTGATGCTGGCACCCCTTGCAACGATCGCTCTAAAGATTTCTCAGCTCCATCACAGGACAGGCCGAAGTGGCCCATCCGTCATCACATGATTCCTCCTGTATTTCAAAGCAACGTTGCTCAAGTGTTTTTTTTTGTTTGTTTGTTTTTCTGCCCTGATTTTTGTATGAACACCGCCTCGATTCCATGTGTAGACTTAACACGCATCTGTGTGCATTTTAACTGATGATATGTAAACACATTAAACAGCTTTTTATTTTTGGTTCATGCGTGTGTGTTTTTTTCCTCACAGACCATACCTTTTAGTCCGTGTCAATTTTTTTTGCTTGTATTATCTGTAATTGTACGTTGCACCAATGAGTCACTGCAGCATAAAGCAGTGGGATTTGGAAATCATCAGCGTGCACGGTGATCAAAACAACTCATTGTGATGCAACGCCCTATTAAACGCAGCATGTGGTTGCAAAGCAGAAGTTTCATATCCTCTGTGAAACTCTTTCAACGCAGCGTCGGCTCTGAAATCGTTTCAAGACAACAGAACACCCAGGATGTCGGCCCTATAGGTCTGCAACAAGCAGGCCTGAAGACTACCGAGAGGTGGATTTGAAGAAAATTAGAAAATAACATACAGTTTCTCACATGATATAGCGTTTCCCGATGCGCCCATTGCTCATTTTCAAAGGAAAGAACAGGGTGTTTCCTGCCATTAAGCCTCAAATTATTATTTGGATCAGCCACACTCCTTCATTTAGGGAAATTAAAACTCATCAGCGAATAACACCCTGAAATTGAAGTTGAGTGTGTGGGTGCTGAAGATGAGTAACAACATGCCAGCTCGCTCAGGCGTACGCACAGACACGAATACTCCCTCCCAAAGCAGCAGCCCTGAAAATTACAAAGAACAACAACGAGGCAACATCAGAATATCGTTCGCCAGAAAATAAGATCACCTTTTAGCTCCATCATGATGAGAAACCTCGTTTTTATTACTACTACTACTGTTTACTACGTCTTCTGCAGCACACCAGAGTGGAGCGGGAAACGTTTAAGCAGTAAAAGGAAACATTTTGAAAAGAGCTTATCCAGCTCTACGTGACTTCCATCTGGACAGCGACAGCACGGGTCCACAAACATCTGGTCCAGGTCTGTGATCACTCATGCCCTTTGAAGTCCCTGTACCTGTCTCCTGGTTTCATCTCTCACTGAAGCTGAAACCCGAGCAGAGGGGAAGCGAACAGCTCTGGTTCATCTCAGGTCATCTCTATGCTGGTTTTAGTTCCACTAAAAGTTTTCAGGGATTGCAGGAGCTTTGCGACCAAAACAATGACATTATTTCGCAACAGCTGTCAGTTTTTAAGGGAGAAAATAACAAGTCCATCATCTTAAACAGAGACACCTAGCCTTAAAAAAACATTTAAACACATAATGATTATGGTGGAATGTTGAGCTATAACACAGTGTATGATATCATCAGCTCTGTATTATTGCATACTGCTTACATATCATCACATTGCATCGATTATTACTAACGTGCACGTGTTTTCATGCAATTTGGAAGGTTAGTTAAACCTTTGATGAAGTTTTTTCAATATGTTAACACGCCCATATAGTGTTTTTTTTTCATTTTTGCTAGAAGAGACGTCGGAAGTGAAACAAGCTGCTTCCTGGTGTGCAAACAATCTGTATAGTCAAAAAAATTGACGTGGCACCAAAACAAGACTCCACTTTGACAGGAAGAGAGATTTTCATGGAGTAAACGCCTACATATGCGCCTTCGATACACAGAGATGAGTTTTGTTTTGTCTAATTAATGAGTGGAGATTTAAATCTATAAAGGCGTTATACACTGTTGCCCATAAAGTTGGAATAAAATATTTTATTACCTCTTCTCATGGAATGATTGTGACAATGTGATTTATTCCTGTATATCTTCTCAAAACTTTACTTCACAATATAAGTAAAATTGGGGGTAGGATTAAGGGTTTTGCTTCAATTTTTCAACCTTGGTCACTTTAACAGGAAACTCATATTCGAGGGGACTTCATGCATGAGAATGTCCAATATGACTCTTTCAAATGTCACTAATATTGAGTCTGGCCACCCCTGACACAGATCAATGTGTTAAGACATCGTGGTAAACTGTCCACCAGCTGGTTGATGGTGTCAGTGGACAGGACATCCCACTGAGAACTGGTTTCGCCTGGTAGCTGGGACTCAGTCTGTAAAAAGAGGAATGTGTCTGACAACAAAAATTATTCCAACTTTATGGGCAACGGTGTATTTCATTAGATGGTCATGCTTTGTATATAAAAAGTAGATATTAGGCTTCGAAGTAATTCTTTACTTTCTTTACTGTCGAGATGTTCATATACGAAGGAACAAACAGGTGAATAGACAATGAAGAACAAAAAATAAGACAAAACCAAGCAAAGAAAAAAGTCAATTTGCATTTTACAGTGCCAGAGTTTGTGATAAACTCGTCTAATAACATCTACTTAAGTACAGTACTTGGCTTACAGACTCATAACACGTAGGTGGACTGCATGCTGCATCAGCTCATCGTCACAAGGGATCGTAACAACAGCTGGGAGCACGCTAAATCTGACTGACAAGAAACCCTGAGTCATCTGCCAACAACCGACTGACGGTGTGAGGTCAAGAGATGTGGTGGAGGAAAGTTTTAACCCTGTTCAGGGCTTTCATGTTGCCATAGGTAGAAGGTCTTTGGACCCCAAGAAAGAATATGTGCAGAATATTAGTTGGTATTTATTACAGACTTTTATACTTTGTTAAATACATTTTCTGATAAGTTGATGTATTTTCGGTTCCAAATGCATGACAAATGTCCCTCTTTTCATACATGGTGGTGGAAACATAAATGTCAACATGTACTGTGACATCCTGAAGCAGAGCATGATCTCCTCCCTTCAGAAACTGGAGTGCAGGGCAGTATTTCAACATGATAACGACCCCAAACACACCTCCAGGACAACCACTGCCTTGCTAAAGGAGTTGAAGATGAACCTGATGGACTGGCCAGGCATGTCTCCACACCTAAACGCTGTTGTGGGGCATCATTAATAGAAGGTGGAGGAGGTCTCTAAGGTCCACCAGCTCCGTGATGTCGTCATGGAGGCAACCTGTGAAGCTCTGGTGAACTCCATGGCCAAGAGGGTCAAGGCAGCGCTGGAAAATAATGGTGGCCACACAATATATTGACACTTTGGGCCCAATTTGGACATTGGACATTGTCTTCAGCAAACTGTTTGCGGGCTTTCTTGTGCATCATCTTTAGAAGAGGCTTCCTTCTGCGATGACGGCCATGCAGTCCAATTTGATGCAGTGTTTACACTCTGGGGTCAATTTGGATATTTCCACCTAGGGGTGTATTCACTTTACCTGCCAGCGGTTTAGACATTAATGGCTGTGTGTTGAGCTATTTTGAGGGGACAGTAAATCTACACTGTTATACAAGCTGTACTCTGACTACTTTCCATCAGAGCAACGTGTCATTTCTTCAGTGTTGTCCTATGAAAAGATAGAACAAAATATTTGCAGAAATGTGCTCACTTTTGTGACATACTGTATATGGAATTTGACGGCTTTATGTATTTAAAAGTGGGCGGCTTGTGGCTCAGGTGGTAGAGCGAGTCGGTCGATGATGGGAAGGTTGGCGTTTGATTCCGCCAGGTGTCATGGTGGTTGTGTCCTTGGGCAAGACGCTTCAGCCACCTTGCCTGGTGTGAATGAATGGATTGTTGGAGGTGGTGGTCGGAGGGGCCGTAGCTAACAATGAATGTGTGTGGATGAATAATCGACAGTTTGAGTGTCTAGAAAAGCGCTATACAAATCTGATCAGTTATTGTGATTATAATTAAAGCTGCCATTTAAATGTAGTGCAGTGGAAGTAGAGTACGTGTCATAAAGTCCATAAGAGATTGTAATTATGCTCAATACTTGAGTAAATGTACTTAGTTACTTAGTCAAAGCCAGTCTTTCAGTGTTGGTGTTGAAGGCAGTAAAAGGAGCTACTGCAGCTTTAAGAGTCACCTGATGAACAAAAAAAAGAAAAAAACGAAGGAAAAGCCGATGGAGGAAGCAGGAAGTTCGTCTACAAGAAAGAGGAGAGCCTGAGCACGTAAACAATACACAAAGAACAGAACAAAGTTTGTCCCGTTTATCGCAATGGCCGGCATTAAAGGTATTTAATTCCAACTTCCGGCTGACAGCTGAGTGTCCGTTAAGGCTCTCGGTCGCTCCGCGTCGGAAACTTTGTTCGGACACTTTTCAACATTTTTTTTTTTTTTTCGAAACCCTTTCATGAATCATTTCGAAAGTTTGGCCTAGAGTGGTTGCCAGCTATCGGGTTCTTTTATAAACTTATTTATCTGTTTAAAAATCCATCTCTATTTTTTTTAGCATTCAAACAACTTTATAGCTTCTTAGCTAGCCGAGCTAATTTTCCCTTTCGTTTCCTACTTTGGACTCTGCCTGTGTTATGTCATTAATGTAAAGTGTCGTTTCTGTCCCAGCTCTGGTTGGTTTGTCCTTTAGTGGTGCCATCGGACTGACGTTCCTCCTGCTGGGCTGCGCACTGGAACAGTACGGGTAGGTTCCCCCTTCAAACCCACACAATACACGCTAATGCATAAAATACTGCCTTGACCTACTAGTTAAGGGAAGCTTAAGGGACTAGTTAAGGTGTTTTACGATGAGGTGACGTCATTTCATATTGCCCTCAAATACTTCCTCAACAGTTTAATATTCAACTTTCATAAAATTGAGGCACTATTAAGAGGAACAAAGTTAAAATCAGTGCAGCAGAGGCCAACAAACTGTGTCAAACTCCAGGATTGTTGCACTCTACAATTAACCAAATCAATAGTGCAACTTTAAGCATTGATTTTTGCTGTGTGCACATGTGCCATTCACTCATTGTGCTGCAACGTTTTTTGCTGCTTGATGTAAAAAGAGACACTGAGTTTGTTGAGACTCTACATGTGCGAAATGAGCAAGAAACGGGAGATAAACGCTGCAAAGGAAGATAGAAAGTGCAAATATTTGGATGGTGGCAAAAAATTTGGTGAACTTTTGGCGATGCCGTACGCTACAGGAGGCAACATGACTAATTTAAACATATAAATGTGCATCACTAAGCTCTGCATTCCTTACTGGTTGCTCGTCTTCCTGGGGTCCATTCACAAAACAACAGTAAAAAATACATCAATTTAAAATCACAGAATATCAGTGAGACAGCATAATTTAATATCAATGCAAAGTTAAGACATGAAAAGTTTAAATAAATAAATAAATAAATAAAATTCACAGACTCACAGCACTGAGTAAAGAAAATAAAAAAGTTCCAGAGCTGCCATAACAAAATGTGAGTCATCAGTTTGAGTTTTAGTGACTTCTTAAAGGGATATCTATTTTTAATCTGTCTAATGCTGGTAGGGAGCATGTTCCAAACGGAGACCTAGCTCTGTAAAGAACAGTTCTCATCATTGTTTGTGGACTTGGTACCACCAGAAGACCGGTGCTTACTTGGCGTGTCACATACCCAAAAACCACTATGTACTAGTTTATCACCAAAGAACTGAGGTGTACTTTTCAGGATGACAGTATGCATACATAACAAAAGACTAGATTTTAATTTAGCCTCCACAGTCAGCCAAGATAGTCGATTACGCATCACATTAACGAAGACCTAATCCGGCTGCCCTGTTCTGTGCAATTTTAGATGCATCTCTGTAGATATTGACATTTTCCCTTCGAGCTTCATCCTCCTCCAGGAAGTCCTGGTATTGTCTCTCATCATGCCTTCATGGTCTCTGGCCATCACCTGCAGTTTCCATGTTTGCATGGTGACAGAGAGCCAGATCTGAATGCCATTCAAAGTAAAAAACATAAATAAATGGACCTTTTGGATGTCTTGCCAGTGTTGCACCATATAAGAAAGGTGGCAGATGGCTTCTCTTTTCTTTTTTAGCTGCTCTTATTTTTTATTTTTGAAGCAGGTGGAGTCCCCTACAAAATTGCCAATTAATAAATAAGTATTTTTTCATATCGCAGAGAACCAAAATATCTCTGTGGCAGCACTAGTGAAATTCATTAGAGCCCTGTTTAAATGCCCACGTAATTTAAACTCATGCTCCCAGTTTGTAATACAGCCTTTTTGAACCTAAAGCTAACATTGAATGATTTGTGGAAACATCTAAATGTGATATTTCTGACAGATATTGCAACGTCATTTGAGATCAAATTTTTCAAAATCAACTTTGGGTCCAATATTCACTTTGTAACAGATTTAAAACAGATTGATGGAGCGTCACCTCATCCATTCACTCATTTACAATAGAGAGAGAAAATATGAAATGCAGGCACACAAATAAGAAACTTGTATGAAAACAAGTGAACCAACTAAAGTGAGAGCAGCTGGAGATAAAACACGACTCGATTAAAACCTGAATTGCTCTGAGGATAACAATGAGTCAGGATTTAGATGGTTCTGCGTGTTACTCCAGCTTGCAGGTGCACAGCGAGGAAACACATGAGACACCCTCACTGATACACAAAGAGGATGACATGATTGTAGAAAAGCACTTGGCACGGCATTTATTAAACCCTCAATCAGATGTATGAGGTGTGGCTGTTAAATAACAAGACTGGGCTTACGGCAGCTGGACCACAACGTTCATGCCTGAACCACATCGTATATGTTGACAACCTCTGAAGGTTTCACTCTCCTCGTATTAAATAAATCTGCAGACATTATGTGAACCACTGCACAGAGAGATGCAGCGTTATTCAACGAGCAAAATAGATAAATCTGTAAACAGCACCACAGATTTATTTATACGTGGATAAGTGCTGTTGGTAAATGCACTACAACCGTTTTTTTTTTTGTTTGTTTGTTTGTTTTTTAATCGTGATTTTATACAAATTTGAGTTTTTTCATTATACCAGGTGAGTCAGAAAAGTTCCAGGACTGGTGTCACAAAAAATATATTTCAAACCCAAACTACAAGTTTTCCCCTTCCAAGTAATCCCCCTGGAGTCTTCTCCAGCCTTCTCTGCCACACCGCCATGCACTCCTCGCTCCGTCATCACAGCCATCTTGATGTCGTCCACGTCTTCTAAACGGGTCCCCTTGATGACCCCCTTGAGCTTGGGGAAGAGGAAACAATCCCACAGAGCCAGGTGGGGTGAGTAGGGAGGTTGCTCCAGCACGGAGATGTTCTTCTCAGCCAGGAACTGTGGGATGCTCAGGGCATTGTGAGCAGGTTGTCATGGTGAAGCAGCCACGACTGGTCCTGCCACAACTATGACTTCTTCTCTGAACGAAGCAAACGCTGCAGGATCTGTTTGTAGACGAGCTGGTGGATGGCTGAAGGGGAAAACTGGTAGTTTGGGTTTGTGACACCAGTCCTGGAACTTCTCCGACACACTTCGTACACACTTGAGGACATTTATTTAGAATAAGTTCACTGCAGACAAAGTGCAGATCTACTGGAGCAAAAAGTAGAAAATGCAAATAACAACAGTGTTAAATAAATGGTCATTTAAGTTGGGCAATTTAGTGTTATCATTATGATTAAAATCCTGCCCTTTAAAAGTGTTTCCTTCTGTTGAGGACGGATAGAATTTTTTTGTTTAATTATATGTTGAATGGCTCCATTTGGTCCCATTTAAAAATAAACTTCCAAGCTTTCTGGGTCCATTAGATTCTGAGCTAACGTCCGTGCACTAGTGCCGCTTAACACATTATGTCATAAAATCATTGTGACTTTTTTTTTTCAGGGTATACTGGCCGCTGTTTGTCCTGATCTTCTACGTGTTGAGCCCCATCCCGACCTTCATATCCAGACGCCTCAGTGACGACAGCGATTCCTCCAGCAATGCGTGCAGAGAGCTGGCCTACTTCTTAACAACTGGCATCGTGGTGTCAGCTTTTGGGCTCCCCATTGTCCTCGCCCGCACAAGCACAGTGAGTTCTCATCAAGTATTTTAGGTTGATTTCCATTCAGTAAGAATGCAATTAAGTAATTTCCTGCTGGGAACAAGTATGAAAAAAAAGAAAACTATTCCTCCTGTTCTGTTTTCTGAAATATAAAATCCAGAATTTCTAGAAATGAACTGATTGTACAACCAGTTTGATTCAAAACTTTGAAATGCTGATATACACAGCATCACATATAACACAAATACTGAATACATTTGTGTCATATATAACATGGATGAGTTGTGCAGTTATCAGAAAAGCAACTACATCTCTTTCGCATAAGGAAATCGTACCTTGATGGTTTCCTTCATCATTTCTCGTGAACACAGTGAAAAAACAAGGCTGCAGACAGACTGTAAAATACTGATTATTTTGCTTTTCTCAACTCATTGTTTTTGGTTGTTATTTATAAAAGAGATTAAAAAATATTGGACAAACATTTTTGAAGTATTATTTATTCAATGTGGTAATGGAAAAAAGTATAGATAGCAGTGGTCCTGTTTGGGCCGAGGTGTTTACTTCCTGGGCTGCAAGGTGGCTTGTGGTTAGCATCATTGCCTCACAGCAAGAAGGTCGACGGTTCATATCCCAGGTTTGCATGTTCTCCCCGTGCAGCGTGGGTTCTCTCCGGGTTCTCCAGCTTCCTCCCACACAGTCCAAAAACATGTTGAGGTTAATTGGTGATTCTAAATTGTCCGTAGGTGTGAATGTGAGTGTGCTTGGTTGTCTGTCTCTAAGTGTAGCCCTGTGATAGACTGGTGACCTGTCCAGGTGAACCTGCCTTCACCCTGAGTCAGCTGAGATAGACTCCAGCCCCCCATGACCCTAGTGAGGATTAAGAGGTGTATAGATAATGGATGGATAGGAAGAGCCGACATCGAAGGATCAAAAAGCGCTGTGAACGCTCGGCCCCCACAAGCCAGTTACTCCTGTGGTAACTTTTCTGACACCTCCTGCTTAAAATCCCCAAAAATCAGAAGGACCGTAGAATACCATGAGTAGATAGCAGCGGTCCTGTTTGGGCTGAGATGTTTACTTCTTTGTTTGAATAAAACACTGTGCATTTCACAAGTCTGATTTGGGGACTGATACGAACAATACCTGAAACTACAATCTTCTAACAGTTATTTGGCATCATATTCACCCACATAGCAGAATGTAACGTACATGTTAACAGTTGGATTACAAAACTACTTAGTTACATAATAAGTAACTAGCTATTGGCACTCAGTTGTGAAAAGTATGACATTTTGAAATAACTGTGTAGAAATCATGTGCTTGTGTACACGTGTCAATGCTGTCTGCGCCATAGCAGTTAAGACATGTACATCTGAGTTAATGCGTGCCAGCAATTTATTGTTGTTTCGGCCACTTTAACGAAGACATTCCTTTTCCTGCAGATCCAGTGGGGCGCCTGCGGTCTGGTGATGACGGGAAACGCCGTCATCTTCCTCACCATTCTTGGCTTTTTCGTCGTGTTCGGAGGTGGGGACGATTTCAGCTGGGAGCAGTGGTAGAGTGCCTTTGGAGAGCGGACGGACGGACAGATGGATGGATGGGTGGGTGGGTGGGTGGGTGGGCAGGTGGATGGTTGAACGAACAGACTGCAGACTGAGGGGCACATGAGTCCTGCCCTCGGTGGGGGATGATGTGTAGGCCGCAAAATGTCAAACTAGAAACGGCGTGTCACCAGGCCGATTTTTATATCAGGGGGTGGTGGGAGACACTACGATGTACTCTAAAAATGTGCCTTATGTCTGAAACAAGGGAAACGCTGCCGCCTAAACCTCTCTTGTGCACCACCGCTACCCATCTTTACCCATATATTTTAGCTTGTTGTGCCTTTGTTTAAACCCCCAGTTCACCCTGCTCATTGCAGCTACCTGCTATTTCATTAGTTAATCGATATCATAAAGGGATCCTAAGCGGTAACTCTATTGTAATGTACACTGCAAAGCTTGCTCCATCTTCCGTGCTCGACGTTCAAAGGGGGAAGCGGCTGTACTGATTTACAGCTTGCTATGAGCACTGTTTGCTGTTTATAGTGTAAAGTCAGGGCAAGTTATCCTAATCGACGCTTTTTGACAGCTAGTTACAGAACTCCTAATCAGGTAAAGATTATCACGTTTGTATGATGTGTGTTGTTTGTTTTGGTTTTTGCCTTAAGACTTTAAAGCCTTACCTTCTGTTCCAATGCAAAGTGTTTACATTTTTCCACCAAAGATCATTTTTAGACTGCGAAAAATGGAGCATATTCACCGTAGCATCATCCTCAAAAGCCGGCCGAGGCATTCCACAGAGCTCCGGTGTGTGTGAGCGGTCCGGAGACGGTAGCCATGCTCATTTTATATTCATGTGCACGACAACAAAACTTCAACAAAAGATCTAGTATCATAAATTCTATTTTTTACATGTTAAATGTTAAATACTGTACATGTATGCTTTTAAGTGCACTTTGCCCTAACGGAGGGCGTCTTCTCTTGCCTTAAACAATGTGTGTTTTAATCGACAGAGAAGTCACTGCTATTGGGTTTTGACTCGTCGTGTTTCATCATCAGGGGCCGTTCAAATCAGTACCTATAAATTAAAAACTACATCCTCATGTTCTATGTCGCCAATAACAAAGTATTAATAGCGTTCTGAAGTGAGACTGTCACAGAAAAGTCTGGTTAGTGTCGTGTAATTTCTGATTTCCTTTTGCACAACTGCTTTACCGAGTGAACTCGTGTTGATGTGTGTATGTAACTGACATGTTCAAAATCATCTCCAGGAAGAAAGTTTTGTTCTTTCTATCGTGACTCCCACACTTTGAAAACACTAAGGAGTGCTCGAGAGCTCTCTCGGAGGTTATTTCAGAAGCTCCTGACTGCATTTTGTTTTCTAACATTGATTAAAACTCTCTGTGTAGTGAATCAAATGGCTCCGTGTGCTGCTTGTGCTTCGGTGAGATACAGTACGGGCGAAAAAAGGAAGGAGAGAGCTTGATTCGACTTGTGCGGAGCTTGTCTCTTGCCGGCGCAGACGGGTGATGCATTCAGTCAGACACCTGCACGCTGTTTGTAGAGCGCAGCAGAAGTAGTGGCGGTAGCAAAGCTCGGTAATGGCCTCCCTCGAGACGCAGACTGGAAGAAGGAGGAGGAGAGGTGGTGGTGGTGGTGTGTGGTTGAAGGGTGTTTTGGGTTTACATATACTTCTGTCTGGCGAGACTGTACGAGTGAACTCAACACCTGACTGGCAGAAGTTCAGCTACGAACAGCTGCTAAATAATTTCTACATTTTGTTTTTGCAATATTCAACAAGCGGTATGTAAAGCCGCTCCATATTTCTGCACATTTACACTTAAAAAGCATCTTTTCTGTCTGGTTTCCAAATACACAAGCGTCAGTACTGATTGCAGGTTGACAATATTATTTGAGCAACGTGCAGAACAAAAAGAACGATAACAGCCAGCATTATCTATTCAGGGTTAAATGGGATGTGGTAGAAATCATACCGCACAGCTGCAGAAACGACTTGAGTGGTTTAATTTCGTTCTCTGTTCATGTGTGTCAGGAATGCGCTGAAGCCGCCTCATCAGCTGAAGCGTTTCCTTCGCAAACAAAAGGAACCCACACTGTACAGATGAATTATTATTTATATGGAAAACAAATGTGCTGCCCGCCTCCAGTGATTGCAATTCACAGGAGGTGGTGGTGGTGGTGGTGGTGGTGGGGAGGACACACGTATGGAATAACATCCCACAGGCAGGTTAATATGAGTGCAGAAAAACATCCGCAAAGTCGCACAAACGCCTGGTTGTGTCAAGTTTAAGATATGAGTGGGTTTACCGAAGAGCAAAAGAAGATTGTCACCTAAAAGTTTGTCTCTGGAGGTCTTAAAAAAAACTCTGTGAAGCCATCAACATAGCTGCACAAAGACCAGACATGCTGCTGTTAAAAAACGATGGGTGAGAGGTGGAGAGTGACTGGGAGCTTTTGTGCTTGAATGACGTGACGTTCCAATTCTGGCGTTGAGGGACAAGTACAAGATAAACACGGCCAAGTACAACAGTGCCAGAGGGGGTGCATTTTTTTTTGCCCATTGCGGTCGTATTCTTGCAGTGGATTTCCAAACTGAATCTGGCTCATGGGCTTGTATATGCCAGATGATATGAGCAGAAGCAGGAGGAGGAGGCCGTGGATCATGACAAGCTATCTGCTACCTACATATTTTATGAAGAAAAGCTGGGCTGTGATCGACCCTCACTCTGAATTTAAAAGACCAGCCCCAAGAATTCATCAGTGATTTTTGACAATCGTGTCCTCAGACCCGCAAGACGACACCTCCGTGGTCTACGAGCATCACCGGCAGGGACAGAAAGTGCTTGAAAGTGATAAAGTCAGACTGCATTTCAATCCGTGAAGGAGAGACGTTGAGAAGAAAATAACGATGAAAGGGAAGATGAAGAAGAAAAAAAAAAAGAGAGAAGGGCCCAGGGACACCCATTCATCTCTGTTCCAGGACAGCTGTTGCTTGGCAACAACCAAGGCATCAAAATTATTCTAAAACACTCCTGAGCCTGGCCTTGAACACAGCACAATGCAACACAGCTCACAGCTACATACCACGGCGCAGCACGGCATATGCTGCGGATGCGTGGTACTGTAGATACAGTACGCTGCGGCTGTCAACGGCAACAAACGGTTAATGCAACACAACACAACACAACACAGATAAACAGAGGAGAACAGGAATGAATCAGGCAGCAGCATTACGCATCACAACTGCCAACTATAAATTGTTAATTTATGTATTTACTCATTTAGTTTTTTCATCCCTCATTATTATGGAATTATCTTTATTAGGAATTATTATTATAACAGCAATGATAGTGATATTATTCATTTATTTATTCAATTTTCTCTCATTGCACACTGAAGCATGCCTGCCCGAACAGATTCCTTCATCATCATTTGAGTCAATATGACTCCTCCATCCTTGTTTGTTTTAATATATGTTCAGTTTTCTTTACTTTTTTCTGTTCTGTCTGTTCCTGTGTATTTTAATTCATCTTAAATCTGCCACTACTGCTTTTGTTTACCTTATTTTACATTACTATTTTCATTATTTATCAGAATCTTTACTTTAAACTTCTTGAATTATCAGTGTCAGTCACAGTTTTTTGTTTTTTTTTGTAGCTCAAATCATGGACATAAGCTTCACTAGAATATTTTGGGGGGAATTCGTGCCTTCTCTGCATCACTTATGGTGGAGAAGTTTTAATTTGTGTAAAGAACAACACAATATTCCGGCTCTGGGTGACAGTTCAAAACATGATGGAATACAAAATCTAATTTTATTTTTCACAGCGGAGTCAGCGGTTGTATGAGCTCGTAACTCATAATTAGAGAATGAAAAGAAGAGGGGTGCGTTGTCTCCCCTGTTCCCCCGGCTCATAAAGAAAAGACGAGAGGAGGAAAAAAAAAAAAAGAAGCATGCAAGACGTAATGCGTGTAATAAAATAGAGAAGAAATGAATTAAAATTAAGTGAATAAAAGTGCAGACACGATTAATAAAAGTGCAGGCAGTTTAGAGCAGACTTCATAATAATAATAATACTGATTACTTAAAAGCACAGGGAAATAAGAATTGTCTTCGGCTTACTCTGGCTATATTTGGGACAAATCTAATTGCCAGGGGGAGCTGATTTCATTAGTGGGCAGCATAATGACTAAATGCCATTTCACTTTGTCTGGTCTGAGCTCTGGGCAGCTCTAACTAACTAACTAGTCCCTGCAGATCGGAGAAACCTTCCAGGATTGTATTTGTATATTTCCGTCTCAGACCATTCAGGGATTTGCAGACAATAAGTAGGGCCTTAAATTCAATTATATATAAAAATTATTCACCACTGTTGGAGTTTTTTCCCCCTTTTTTACTCTTAAACACTGAATTATGGTCAATTTCATTTCAAAATTTAAAAAAAAAAAAAAAAAAAGTAGATTTAGGATTTGGTGCCAAAGTGAAAACAGATTTCTAGAAAGTAATGCCAATTAAATAAAAACATAAAATGTAAACAATACTTATGTTTACACTTATGAATACATAAATATTCCACCCCTTTTTAAACTGCTTATCTAATTCAACACAGGTGCAGCCGGTTTGGAGATCATCTGCAGGCAGTGAATGTGTTTCAGGTATTTGCAGTATAAAGACACCTGCATCTGGAGCGTCCGGTCACCGGTGAATCAGTGCTCCTGGATAAAACTACACCATGATAACAGAAGAACCATCCAGGCTACTCTGCTAACAGGTTGTTGAAAAGCATAAGTCACTGGATGGAGACTAGAAAACTTTCACTAGCTGTTGTCACTGAATATCCTTTGGAGTTCAGTTAAATCCATAATTAGGAAATGAAAGAAGTGTGGGACATGCATAGAGCAGGCCGTCCTCATAAACTGAGTGGCCATGCCAGACAGAGACAGCCGAGGGAGGCCACCAACACACCTATGAATCCTCTGAAGGAGTTACAAGCCTCAGCTGCTGAGATGGAAGAAACTGTGCCTTCAACAACTGTTTCCTGCTCTTCACTGGCCAAAGCTTTATGAGACACTGGCAAAGAGAAAACTACTGTTAGAAAAGCTCATTATATCTCAACTAGAGTTCACTGGAGGGCATCTGTGGGACTCTGTAGTCAACTGAAAGAGTCTGATAAAACCAAATTTAGCCTTTTGGTCATCAGAGGAGACGCTATGTTTGGCAGACAGAAAATGCTGCACATCATCACGAACACACCGTCCTCCCATGAAGCACGGCGATGACTACGAACTCATAACTCCTTCAGACGAGTCATAGTTGACTTTGTCATGCATGAGCCACATTTATTCATCTGACAAGTTCTCTGTTAAGAGCATTATGTTATTAGCTTAGCATAAAGTCAGCTGGTTAGCCCCATACAGAGATAATAATGCATTTTATGTACTGCTGGTTAGCTATTATGTTACTGAGTTAGATGGTCGTGTAGTCATTTATCAGAAATCTAGCATTAGCAGGCTAGAGTTTTAAAAATCATTAATATCCATGGGGACATTCCCTCAGTGTTATTATCTTAGCATAAAGTCAGCTTGTTTGCTTTTAAGACTAATATATATATATATATATTTAAACTGCTGGTTAGCCATTATGCTACTGTATCAGATGATAATATACTTCATTTATAAGAAACCTAGCATTAGCAAGCTAATTAACCTTTTAGTCAAGTAATTATGTTTTTTTTTTTTTTTTTATAGCTGGCTATCTATTTTGTTACTGTAGCAAATGACAGTGAACATAATTTATCAGAAATATAACATTAGCAAGACTAGAATTTAGAAAATCGTCCATGAGAGGCTTCCTTCACAAGTCCTCTCTTACAAGCAGAATTCTATTAGCTTAGCATAAAGTCAGCTCATCAGCTGTTTTAGACTAATAATGCTGCTTTTTATTTACTGCTGGCTAGCTAATATGTGATTGTATGAGATGATAGTGCACACAATTTATCAGAAATGTCACATTAGCAAGGCTTGACTTTTGAAAATCACTTATGTCAATAGGGGGCCTTCAATTAAAAGTCCTCTCTTTTGAGCGTAGCACTATTAGCTTAGCATAAAGTCAGCTCGTCAGCTTTTTAGACTAATAATGCTGCTTTTTTTCCCCCACTTCTGGCTAACTAGTATGTTACTGTATTGGATGATAGTAATTTATCAGAAATGTAGCATTAGCAAGGCTAGAGTTTTAAAAATCACCTATGTCAATAGGGGGCCTTCAATTAAAAGTCCTCTCTCATGAGATACAGTTATTAGCTTAGCTTAGCATAAAGTCAGCTCTTTAGCCTAGTAATAACATTTTGTTTTTTTCACTGCTGGCTAGCGATTATGTTACTATATGAGATGATAATGTATGTAATTTATCAGAAATGTAGCAGGGGGGCCTTTAATTAAAAGTCCTCTCTTTTGAGCATAGTGTTATTAGCTTAGCATAAAATCAGCACATTAACTTTTCAGGCAGACAGTGCTTTTTTTTAAAAATAAAATTCTATTGCTGGTTAGCTATTATGTAAATATATGAAATAATAGCATATAAAACTTATCAGAAATCTAGCAATTATTGATTTCTGTGGGGATACATCTTAAATTTTCACAAATTTAAAGGAAAATTCTATTTTTTTTGGTTAAACTGATGAAGGTGAAAAGTTTGCTTACTGTATGTATATGCTTTTAAAACCCACAGAGGCTCATTTTGTACTTTCAGAACATGACATTCTCTTTATTAAAAAACAAAAACAACAACAGCAACAACAAAAACATTTCTTTAGATTTTCTGAGACCATATTTAAAGATTAAGTCACTCTCATTCAAGAGAATGAAAACCGGCTGTATCTGACGGTCAGAAGGGGACACACGGTGGTGGTGGTGGTGGTGGTGGGGGCTTCTTACCCCGGGTTACCCTGGTATACATAAGTGGCATTTACAGAAACAATCATCCGAGGACAGAGAACCTGAGGGGGGGGATGACTGGGTGAGGTTGCAGCCTCACTGAACACACTCGGCTCCGGCGGCTGGCTGGCTGGCTTGGGGGGGGGGACCTTTAACGGACGGGTGGGAGGCGGGGACCGGAGGACGTGCGTCGCCGGCGTCGGGAGCCAATCGATGCGCTCGCGGGTCCGTGAAGGGGAACGAGCGCGAACGGAACAAATGGAAGCTCATAAAAAGGGGGTGCGCGTGCTGCCGGAGCGAAGCACCGGAGAAGCGGAGCGAGCTCGCAGCGACAGCACCGGGAGAGACCGACAGACGGCACCCACCTCCTCCACCACCACCACCCTCCCCCTGTCACCGGTAAGACTGCGTTCAAACCGACCGGAGACACACACACAAACACCGCGGTACGGGGAACAAAAAAAACACCAAAACTCCATCTTTCTTTAGCTTTTATCGACATTAGCTTCTTTTGGCTGCTAGCTTGCAACTCAAAAAAATAAAAAATAACCGTCGTTTTAAGAAGTTTGGATAGATGTACTTTTTGAAGTGATTCACTGAAGGAAAACAGATTTAATGGGTTTACAGAAAGGATGTTCTGGCGGCTGGTTCCGGTCATTTGGAGCTATTTGCGAAGGAAACACGATCTCCAGTCTTGAGTTGCACTGAGAGGTTCTTTGATTCAGTCACGTCACGTAGGTTTCCCGTCTGGATGGAGGCGATCTCTCTCCCTCCGGGCTCCGCGTTGTGGGCATCTCTCTTCCTCTTGTCTAGTTTATTGCACTTTTTAAAAAAATGTATTTTATTTTTTATTCTCAGCTTCCACGGATGCTTCAGGTGAAGCACGGTGATAGGGTCAAACCAGGTAAACACAAGTCATTGATTTCTCCTGAAGGAGACTGAGTGAGCTTGGGTGTTTTCTTTTTTTTTCTTTTGGAGAGATGTGGGTGGTGGGAAAATGAGGAAAATCTATGTTGGAAAGCCTGGAACAGAGGCGATTGGTATACAATAAACCAAGTGTCACATGCCATTAGGTAATCAGTGAATCCATTTGGCATTGAAGTTCTGATGAAGAAGATGAACAGCACTTGTTAGGCTCTTTATCTTGTCCTATGATGATAATAATAATAATAAAAAACTTTATTTCTATAGCGCCTTTCAAAACCAGAGCTTTTATAAAATACAATATGAAGCAATAACAATGGAACCATCATGTTTCCCACTAAAAATAGAGAATCAATAATGACATTTTTGTAATAAGGGAGACCAGGAATGGCAGTTTGTGTTTATTAGCCTTCTTTAAGTGACTGTTCGTCGAGAGCATTTCAAACTTTGATTATCTTTACCACTACTTCTCAGCTTATATTCAGTAGTAAGTAAGACATGGGGTGTGTTTGAGTGTTGTGAGTCCGCACATGAGGGCACAAAAACACACTAAAACATCAGTCTAACAACTAGGATGAAGATTCGTAGCTGACCAGTGATGCAAGCTTGATCTCTAAATGCACTTGCAGCAAAAAAAAGGAACCTGAAGCTCTAAAAATGTGTCGTGTGCAGGTAAATATGTCCTGTGGGTTTTTTTTTTTTTTATCCTGAAAATGAAAGTCTGTCACTTCTCTGCACTCAAGTCTTTGCAATCCAGGGTTGTGAAGTATCACAGTGTTTATCTAAAGCGTCTACCTTTTTCAAAATAGGCTTAATTTCAACCCAACACTGTAAGAACAACAACAAAAACTAGTGATTCATCACCGAGGCATTATGTTTCCCTCTTTAACAAATCATTTTTACAGCTGTTCTCTAGTTTCGCATCCCACACAAGTTCTCCTTTTTATGCCACGCGAGTGACATTTCTCTGTCATGCCGTGTTATCGTGTTACACTTCTGAAACTCATTTCCCTTAAACCCCAGTTTGAAGTATTGTTTGTCCAGTCGTGGGGTATATTAACTCAACTGTGCCTTTATGACTGGTCAGAGCTGGAACAACAGCGCACATACATCCGACCACGCCTCGTGTTAAAGGGCTGCCACGCTGATGACTCATTAACTAGCTGTTTGGTGGTGTGGCTGGTAATGTGGTTACTGTACGGCCTCTTCTGATGCTGACGTTTGGCTTCCAGCTGATGAATGTAAGTACTGTATCTGCGTGAGGCCTTTTGAGACTGGCTGAGTGTTTGTCATACTGTGATGAAAATCCAGCTGATTGCGAATACAGAAACCGTTGTGCGTACGCGGTTGTTCGCAAGTGCTTGATGTCAAACTGAACTGTGATTGTGATTGCAGTCATGCATTGTGAAAAGCATAGCAATTGTTAATTTCCACAGTTTTAAAGTGACTTTTTTCATCGACAGTAGGTTATGCTGTTTGTTTATTGCATGATGCGTGGAATCATGTATTCATATCACTTTTCATGGCTGTCAGGGAGAAAACACGTACTGTGATGTTGTCAGGGGTCCTGAGATCAGTCGTGTAGTTTTAAACTTGTAGTCAGTCACTGCTTTTATTTCCTTTCGGATATTTCGCTGTGCAATGCGATCTGTGTAATTGTAATCCGCTGTTTTGTCGTTCAGGTTGACAGTTTGCTGACGTGAATTCCCGCTCCTCCTTTCACCACCGCCTCGAGGAGAATCGCTTCCTCTGTAAGTACGCTTCTTCAGTGTCTGCGGGGAAATGTTGTGGCCGCTGCGAGCCTTATTGCTGACTAAGGAGTGTATAATATTTCTTAATTGGTTTTTATCCAGATCAGTTTTCAATCTGTTATCGAGCTTTTGGTTGAAAATGTTTTAGTAAAGTACAACGGTCAGGACAAAAGGTACTCCTTTTGGGAATTTGTACCATTTTTAGACATTTGTGTTAATGTGATGTGTGAGGTAAAATGCCAAATGTGTTCCATCTTTTTAGGAAATATCCTGCTTTTGGATTTCAAAATGTTGGCCTGACAAATTAAGGAATTTAAATATGTGTTTTTTCAGCTCCAGAAAACTGTGATTGAACTCTTTGGAGTAGGCTCATAAATAATGAGCATATATTTAGGAACTATTTGTTGCAGCCCTGATATACTGTAGCTGCTGGAATAGATCCCAATGGTGAAGGGGAAGTGGTAGGAGTGTGTTGTGGTTCACAGGACTCATCGGCAGTTCCACAGCATGATATTACCACCCTGTGTGTAAAGGAGGCGGTAGATCGTATTGATTTATTCACTTCAGCACAGGTCAGAGCTGTGCAGTGCTTCTCTTCTGCTCAGATTTGCAGTCATGTTGACATGGAGGTTGCCAGCTGATGACACTCTGTGCCTCTCTGAATCCTGCACACTCTGCCAGACCGTCTGTTACCGCCTTACTCTCCAAATCATTGGTTATTTTTCCGCTCTCAATCTGTGGGAACACTAAGTTTCCCCCCAGTGAATGGATTCTCGATGAAGTGCTGACACAGACGGTACTTCAGTCACAATACCTCAGCTGAGGTTAAATAGGGCAAATTGAATGTAATGGAGTAATTAGTATATGTGTGAGTGAGCGTTGTGTTTTTTTGTCACAAACTGGCACTCTCTCGTGATTGTTCAGCAATTCCAATCAAGCCGTGTAGTTCTCATTCCTTTTATTTTTGTCTCTGTTAGGGCTTCTGTCTTAGTGTAGCGCTAAAAGGTCATGAGGAATTAAGCATTTATTAGGAATGTCTGATGATATCTCCCCGTGCAGCACGGGTTCTCTCCGGGTTCTCTGGCTTCCTCCCACACAATCCAAAATCATGTTGAGGTTAATTGGTGATTGTAAATTGTCTGTAGGTGTGAGTGTGAGTGCGCTTGGTTGTCTGTCTCTAAGTGTAGCCCTGTGATAGACTGGTTACCTGTCCAGGTGAACCTGCTGTCACCCTGAGTCAGTTGGGATAGACTCCAGCCCCCCATGACCCCAGTGAGGATTAAGCGGTGTATAGATATTGGATGGATGGATGTTTTGCATGTGAGTTTAAGTAGTATTCATGTTTTCACCCAGTGAATGTGTACATTTGAAGTCTTGCATTTTATGTCTGCACCTGCCTGTGGGCAGTTCCATTATGAGTAGGCATAATAATGTGTTGATTCTGCTACAGGAGAGGATGTTTCTCTGCAATTAGGTGGAAAAAATGTGGCTGTTTCAGGACTGAAAATTGGCCAAAATGACTGAAAATATTGGCCTATTGAATATTGACCAAAAAAACAGTATCATGCATAGCTGGCATTTATAAATGTCTTCCATCTGAGTATAAACAAAATGTAGAATCTGTGATAAATGTTAAAAAGAGTAGGTAGAGGATGCTATTTACACATCATATTTACAGAGAGGGTAGCTTTCTGCTTTAAGTCCTGTATTCTAACATTACCAAGTAAAACTGTTGGTGAGACAGCAGAGCTCTAAATCAGTCTGCCTCCCCAATTTCGTGTCCCATTGATGGATTGACTTTCCCATGACCTAACAGGCACATGGTGTGACAGTAGAACAATCCCAAAATGGGACATTTGGCCCAGTTAGCTCCAAGCTCAGCGGCTTGTTCATTCTCTCTCTGTCTCCGTCTCTCTGAGCCTGTACAGTAGGGCAGTGGGTTCCCTGCATGTGGCCTCCACAGTGACGTCACCTTTCGGCTGCCACAAATTGCTGTGTTGTTTCTCGCCCTCCTCAACAAAACTCCTCTCAGTCCTCGCTCGGCTGAAAAGCTCATTTCTGCTGGAATCTGCTTCCAAACTGAGTGCAAAAACAATAGCTTCCCGCTGTGACTTGGTTTGGATATTTTTCAGCGACGAGTGATCTGAGTTGACAGGTGTTGATTGACTTTCCTTTTTACTCAGCGCTGAAATAGCTAAAAACTGTTGAATCGTCTTTGATAGGTGTCTGCTTAGATTATAAGACGGAGGAACTGATGCTGACATGATTAAAAGGAACATTGACAGTTTAATTTTTATTTTACCTGCCACTTCTACCCTCGTTTACCTTTAATGAACACTGCATAAATTTGTCTAATTGTTTTTCATGTAGTTGTACGCAGATGTAAGGACGAATGTTAAAGATGGTACAGTCTTTGACAACTTTTCTTCCTGTGAAACATGTACTTATATCTACATAACGGTGTTTTCTAAATGTTTGTTATATAGACGAGGGGTTAAAGCAAAAGGGGGAATTCGGGGAAGGCTTGAAGTTTCCGTTTTCATTGTGGATCTGACGGCTTTGACCGTGACCTCAAATCAGAGTCCGCCAAAACAACGAGTGACTGGATGTAGCTCCAGTTTTATCCAGATATCATCACATAGGAAGTAGAACAATGGGGGGTTTGTTATGTTGGCCTGTGTGGTGACTTTTTACATAGTTGATGAGGATGTGAGAGAGTAGAGGACTGCCATGAAACAAGGACATGGAGAGGGCAGAAAAATGGCATTTATCAGAGTTTATCGATCAGGATTCGTCGTCTCCGAAATCAGTCTAGAACCCCGTGCAGCAGTTTTTTCAGGGCCAGCAAGAAGTACCTACTCCAGACTTTTCTTCTCCTCTCCCAACTCTCCCCTGAAAGAGGTTCTCCAAGGACGATTCTTACGTCACAAACATGAACAATGACAAATTCCTGCAGTGGAAACAAGCTTAAAGTGTTACCTGCTGTTCAATAAGCTGCAGATATCTTTCAGCCCTTTAGTACATTTAATACTTCTTCCCTTCCCGATGGTCATTTTTGATTCAGTAAACTGTAGCTTATCAAAAGGTTGTAGGTTTCTGTGCACCGTAAGATACATAAAACTAGAGCCCTCTGTCTTAGCAGTTAATCTGACACTTTTCATACTTAATCAGTAACTTGTTTGGTATTGAAAATGGCAAAATAGTAAAAAATGTAAATCAGTCTTTCTTGAAATTGCTTGTTATAGCCTAGTAATGGTCCCAAAATATTTTGATTGTTGTCATTTAAGAAAAACTAAAGCAGTTTTTACTCCACATCTACCAGTTTTCAAGGCAGTTGCAGATTACTTTCAAGTCAATTAACTAATCTGTGCAAACTATCTATCCATCCATTATCTATACACCGCTTAATCCTTACTAGGGTCATCGGGGGCTGGAGTCTATCCCAGCTGACTCAGGGTGAAGGCAGGTTCACCTGGACAGGTAACCAGTCTATCACAGGGCTACACTTAGAGACAGACAACCAAGCGCACTCACATTCACACCTACGGACAATTTACAATCACCAATTAACCTCAGCATGTTTCTGGACTGTGGGAGGAAGCCGGTGAACCCGGAGAGAACCCACGCTGCACGGGGAGAACATGGAGACTCCACGCAGAAAGATCCTGGGTGTCCTCACTGAGACGCAAACCAGCGACCTTTTAGCTGCGAGGCAACGATGCTAACCACCGAGCCACCGTGCAGCCCCTGTACAAACTAATTTGACGAAAAATTTCAGCTCTATCTGTATGGAGAGAAGCTCTGTTGTACCCACATAATCTCAATTATTTTAGCACATTCATAGGTGTATGCGGATTGTATGACAAGTCCAGCTTAGTCAGTAAGCACAAGAACACCTGCATGAAGTGCAACAACTGCTTTGTGTGTTGGACATGCCCACGCAAACAGTGTGGGAAGGATAGATAAGATTAGAAAGATAACAGTGTGTGGCTAAAACTTAGTGCAACCTTCCAGCGAATTTTTATTTTTTTGCCGTTCTTAACCTTATATTTTCACACAAAAAAATTAACCAGCTCACCCTATGCTGAAGGCGTCTGGCAAATATTGATTGGTATCATAGTTGGTGCTGCTGAGGATGGATGTGTGTAAAGTGGAAGTCGGCGAGAAAATATTTCCAGCACAAATGTCATCCAGTGTACTGTAGTGAAGGCAGCTGTGTTTTCATTGTTGTGTATAGGATTGTGTGATTTGCTGCGCAGCCTCAAGGTTAGCTTATAAATACTGTTTGTCTGTACATTTATTCTAATTTCCATGCAGATATTTTAGAAATGCTGAAACAAGCATGTTAATGAAAGCGGGTTACACAGTTTTTATTTCAATTCAATTATTAATCCATAGATGCAGTGTATTTGTTTGCAGCCACGGTTTCAAGATGTTCTAGGAGAGAAGCAGCAGCGTGGTTGCTGCTGTGATTTGCATTATGAGCAGTAATAAATTACTGAGTATTCTCTTGGTCATTGATCAAACATGTGTTTTTCATTGTATGCAGCTTCTGCGTCTACATAACTTTGTTTTCGTAGCGCATGCAGTGAAACAAAAGGCTCCACACAGCAGTATCATGCACCACAACAAGCACTGTTTTTCAGGTCATTGGTGCAGCTATACTGTAAGTAACCCTGTAATTATGTAATTAAGGAAGTGTGCTTCAAGCAGTTCACTCCTCAAGAAAGGAGGCCCATTTTTTTTCTGCGTCTCCCTTTTCTTGTGGTTGCTTCTCATTGTTTTAACCTTCAGTAACGTTTCTGAAAGACTAGACATGAGAAACAAACAAAAAAAATCATTAAATGCTTTTGAAAAAGGCGATCAGTAAAATGATTCCAATCTAAAAGCGATGTGATATGTGATGTCTTCAGACTAAAAATAAACTGTGGTGGTGACTTTATCTGTTTCCTTCTTTGAGCTGAATTTCAGTTCCCTTCAGCCTTTTATTTTCAATGTCA